TTTCTTGGCTTAATTTGAAGACAAGTATTTGCCATTATTTAGGATACTCAAATGTGCCCACAATATTGACATTTAATGGACATTTGAAAGCCAAATTAATTTTGAATAACTAAAAGCATATATAGTTTCACTACATTTATTATCAAAGCTAATCCTAAAAGAAATACTCTATTTATATCTTGTTATTTTTCCCTATGCATAATGTTAGGTGCCCATATGAGAACATTATTAGGGGCAACTCCCTCTCTATTATACCAACAAGATCGTGTCTTATATAAAGCGGCCATATCCATTGGCAGATAAAATTACTTTATTGGTAGGTTTATCCAAGAAAGATACACCCATATTTTTAAGCTTTCACCATCAATGTATATACCTAGCTTCTTCTTATGTATATTCATAAGAAATCAAAAGTTTTTTAGCCAATTAATTAAGAGATAAGTAGAATTAGAAGGATTTGATATTCATTTTACCCCCTTCCAGATATCAAGTTATATGCATTTGTTAACTTTATATTTGAATGCATCATCCATGACATAATCAAATTGCCTCTTTCCTCTTTATTTTCCTATTATATATTATATATTGGATGTGGTATATGGAAGTACCAATGCTTGGGTAGGGATCCTACTTATCTCTCCCCAAGATGATGCTTTAGAATATGGGCCTTACTTATAATTCACTATAAATAATAACATCGTGAGTAAGCACTTGTAAAATGTTTCATAATTATTATAGATTATCAAGTTCAAAATTTAATGATTCACATTGACTCTGAACTCGTAGCATCTCAAGTAGAAGGATATTTAGACACTCATAACCTACAATTAGTACAATATCCTTGCTTGGTGAAATTACTTCTATTTTACATCAATGCATATCATATTATTTACATTCATTGAGAATAGGATGCTCAAGAAGATACCCTGACTTATAGCTTCAACAATAGGAGATTTATATATTAAAAAAAATCATTTAGAATATACACTTTCCAAGTAAATGAGATTCATAAAAGATATAATCTATTTGAAGAATTAAAAAAGATCTCTTAAATAAACCCTATAATCTCTTTTTTGTAGGGAAAACTTTGGAGGCAAAAAAGACTCACTCAAAAAATTATAAGGTATGGATTCTATTGGCTTACAATAAAGTATGATGCATTAAACTTTATTTGAAAATATAATAATTAATAATTACATTCTAATCTCACTTGTGTTCCACCAATAAAACTTTTATTTATCCATAGTTTATGAGCCTTCTCTTAATGTGGGATTGACATCATTGAACCATTTTCCATTGCCATTAGACATGGAAAGTTTATTATTCTTTAAATTGATTATTTCACCATGTGGGTGGAAGCTGGACCACATAGAAAAAAATTACTATAGCAAATGCCTGATAATTTGCATGGAAGAAAATTTATTTTTTTATCTTTTTTACATAGATCATCATTACTGATGGAATAAAATTCATCGAAAGCATGTTTAGATCCTTTCGTAAACAACTTCATGTTCAATTGGTCCACATGGTTGTTTCACATCCTTAAACAAAGGGACATATGTATGTAACAAATCAAATCATTCTCAAAGGCATGTCTTTAAAGGTGGTAACAATGAGTTGATGAGCTTTCTAATGCACTCTAGGTATATTGCTCGACATTAGGAATCCCAATAGAATAAATACTTTATAATCTATGTTTTAGTATAGAGGTAATTTTTGATATCAATGTCATAAACCCCAAGGTTTAAACTTTTAATGTGTACAATAACAAGGAAAAGCTCTATTATCATATTAATCTTAAAAAAAAAAAAACACATATGATGTAGCTTTGCTCAGTAGTGCTTGCTACCATCAACGCGTAGCACATTAATTTAATTAAATAGTGAAATCCCAACCTATCTTTGTTTGAGATCTAGTCTTACAAAATCTTGAAGTTCTTGGGAAGGGACACCTACACAATAAACTTTGACCTCTTTGGAAGGAACCCTTTGTAATGGTTGTTATGGTCAAGCTGAAGCATGAGCTTGAAGATTTAGACAGGACTAACTAAAAATTTGAATATTGCTAAAAATCTTTAGAGGCATTATCAATGACTATGAGTAACTATTATATATGACTTCTACTCTATGGGCTTAGTCATGGACATGATTTTGAAAGGGCATCAACAAGCTAAATAAAAACAATCTTTGAGCATTCATCCCCATCCTAATTAAAGTACAATCAATCCTAGGGAATTTAAGTTGAAATGAGCACTTCATACATGTTAATATCATCGAAGAATATTCTGACAAACAACTTTGAATAATTTGGATATCCTTGGTGGATTTGTTTCCAAAACATTCTACCATAGGTTAAGGTTTAGTGACATCACATCATAAAAACCTAAGAAATATATAATTCAAAAAAAAAAAAAAAAAATCATGACACTCATGGTATAAAGAAGAAGGTTGACTAAAATTATAGCATATATGAGTTGATAATAAAAAGTGTCATATATAAATAAAGAAAATACATTTATGCGACATAGTTTAATCACTCTTAGTATCATCTTCTAAGTCTGGAAAAGTACCTCAAATGCTTGACTTTGAGATAGTGCTTCAATGTTTGCCCCTATCTTGTGGTGCACCAACTAAGTCCCTTTTAGAAAGCCCCATGCAACATATTTTTTTAGGTCATTGGTGCTCCAAGGATTACATCTCCACATCATATATACGATAAAGAGTCTTCTTAACATTGTCTTGAATTATGCTCTTACAAGCCAAAGATTTTTTTAACATCTTCTATTGCCTTAAAGGATAAAATCTAGCTCCAATCCCAAGCTTTGATAAAGTTGTCTTCCTCTTTGATAGCTGTGCCAATAATTTATTTTTTTCCCTCTTCAAAATTCATCATATTTACTTTTGAGAGTTTTTTAAAATATTTGCATTTTGACTAATTTATACATCTATATCCATCAATTCATCTCAAGCTTGATTGATCTCTTCGCGTTTCAAAGAAAGGGAAGTCATCATAGTTGATATCTTGATCTTACATTCTATCATCTGATCTTCCAAGGCTATCACATCTTTAGCATTAACATTATATCATTATTTATGTTTCCCAAATTCTATATTCCCTTCCTTGAATGAGATGTCCAATTCAATGTTAATATACATTCTTTTTAGCATCTAAAATAAGTTTATATTATGCATGGGCGAAAGTTATAAAAATTAAGAAATAAGAGAGAAAAAAATAACCCACTAATTCATTAGCTCATAACATCCACTATATGCATCGTTTAACACATAAAAAATATGTAATTTCATAAAACATATATTTACAAGATTTGATAAAGAAGAATTCTTATGACCTTTATCGCTGATTGTCTATAAAGTCATTTGGATAAAGATTTTGAAACTTGGTGATTTCCTCTTGATTTTTTTTCAATTTTTTTAGCATCAAAGCATGAAATCTTTCAACATGAATCAAAAGACTAACCTTAAATAAATAAACTTTATTGACATATCTATTTAGGTAATGAACTTTATATTAAAGATTTTCAAGGTTGAAAATATTGAAAATTCTCAACATGTCTTCTTCTTTAATATCGAGTGAGACATGCACATGCAACTCTTTTGTAATTCCCCATTTTAAAAAAATGCCCCAATCATTTTTCACAAAAAAAAAAAAAAAAAAAAAAAAAAAAAAAAAAAAAAAAAAAAAAATCATAGGACCATTTCTTCAAGGCATCTCTCATAAGAAGGTCCAACCATTTACTCCAACAAGTGATGCGACCTTGAGCGGCACATATAAATCAACTTCACGCCTCAATTTTTATATAAATAAACCAAATGGTTTATGAATCATGCTTATAATAAAATCAAGCGTCTCAATGAGTCAAATTCAATAAGCCCAAGATAATTTAATTATAAGGTCATTAAAGCACTCAAATGCTGAATAAATGACAAGGTCATTAAAGCACTCAAATGTTAAATAAATGATATAAGACTAAGGGGATCAATACGAAGATGTCTCAAGTATAGAAATTCTTAAATCTTTAAATAAGTAGCTGAATAACTCACTTGAATTTAATACCTATATCAAATAATTTTTAAAACTTAACCCATATAAAATTTATTAAATTCAAAATTTAAGAATTATTAAATCCTACTTGCACCCAAGGGGTTGTTTGATTTGCTAAAATGGAAATATATAGTTAAAAAAATATGTTATAAAATAAATGTAGTGCATTTAAAATATTTTTGATGTTATTTTTGGTTGCTGCATTATTGATGTAATGTGAATATAATGCATACATTTTGAAAATTTGATTATTTGGTAGTCATACTTTAAATGCATCATAATTTATTGATGAATTTTGTATTGGCATTCCTTTTTTTTTTGTGTGAATTATTTAGAAATATGCCAATTTGATCGATATGCCAAATTCATAGCCAAACTAGCCCAAATTTGCAGTCTTACTAAGCCCAAAATCACATTTTAATTTAAATAGTATTAATGCTACTTTTTTAGTCTCATATCATTGGAGAAGCTTGAGGTAGTTGTATATAACCTTTTATATGGTGTGAATTTCATATTTTTTTACTAAATGCATTATGTGAGATATGTGAGATAACATGCATATATTATATTATAATTAATCATCATATTTAATAAAAATATTTTAAAAAGTTAAAAGAATTCAATAAATTAAAATATATTATTTTAAATTTAATTAAATAATAATAATTTTTTTATATAACCGACTGGTTCTTTCCAATCTGGATATGTTCAGCAGTTCACCGGTTGAACCGCCGACTTTTGTTGGTTCAATCCGATTCAATGCGAAACCAATTTTTAAGCTGGATCGGACCGGCCAGCCGACCGATTCACAGTTGAACCACCCATCCAATTTTGAAAACATTGATTTTACATTTTCCTCAATAATTTTAAAATATTTAAAAAATGTTATTTATTTTACACATATTTATACTTTTGTTTCATCAAATAAAAAATATAATTCACTTGCTTTCATCCCGTGTACAATACATCTAACTTGGCATCATCCTTGCAGTCGGGAGTGGAATCCGATCGTCCTCCGGAAGCTCATGACGGCCATGAGCAACCACCCTGTTATCGGTATATTTACTCCGCCTATTCCCAATTCAAACCTAACTTCTCCTAAATCCCGTCCTCTTAAACCTCTATTTCGCAGATGACAACGACTCCGACGCCGAATCAGACTCCACCGACGATTCTCAATTCTACCATCCAATCTCCTCTTACGACCTTGATGACACCGAAGAACTTGGAGACACACGCACGCCGGATATCCTTACCAACGGCGGGAATCTCGAACACGAACTAATCCCTAACCTTACCGGCTTACATCTCCTTGCTGAGAACGGCATCGCTGCTTTAGATCTGAATGGCTATAGTAGGATTTTGGCATCCGAGGAAGAGGAGGAAGCAACGGCGAGGGAGAGGGAGGCATCGATCCTGAGGGCTTTCCGTGCAGACGAAAGCCGGAGGAACGCCCCCTTGCTGCCCGAAAATTCTGCGAGGATCGTGAGCGTGATGAGGGGGGTCTCATTTCCGGATTACACTCCAGATTGGGTGAATCGAGTGCCAGAGGACCAATGGCTGGATCAGTTGAGGAGATTGAGAGGAGAGCCAACTTCACAGAGCTGAAAAGAGTAAGCTTCACGGACAATAGCCCAAGTATTGCTTGCTTGTCTTCATCACATAAAAATGCAATTGAAACCTTAATTTATTTTAATAGTTTGAAATGTGTTGAAAATCATAAACTTTCCTTCCAACATATATCAGAATAGAAGAAATTGGTTTCTTGGAACAATTCTTTATTAGTACGTGCTGAACCCATGAAATTCTACACATATTTATTATTCTACTTGCTTTGTATTGTGTTGTCAGAGCACCATTAATTGACAATGATACGATAATATTTCGTGTGTTGCTTTTACACCTTTGGGTCTTGGTTTCAAGCTGAACGCTGATATGTACAGTTTGTACATGCTACATTCCTTGAATGGGGCAAATTATTGGGTCAGGTGACCGAAGCCATCTCTCCGTTCGGTCGCCAATAGAAATGTGACATCTGTTAGGCGTTTTTTTAATTTATTTTCTTTGAATAAACCATCCAATTCAGAAATAAGACCGCATTTTCTGAGATGGCAGGGGTATACAGATTTATACTTTACTCAAGAGAATGCAGCAAAATTATTTAAATTTTTAAAGAAAAGTGAGGTAATTTTTTCGTTTACATGATGCAAATTATGCTAAGGTTGCGCTACGGTTGCGCTATGGTTGCGCTTTAATAAATTTTTCTGTTTTTTGCAGATTTTTGTTTGTCTTGAGAATGTTAGCAATGAGGAGGCCGAAAAATACGGGGCTGACATTATTGCCATACAAAACTTGAAAACCCGTTCAGGTCATGAACCATAGAAATTGCAGTCATCCCAGAAAATTAAGTCTTCCGCAAGAAAAAAACTTGACACCACCCCACCTCCCTCTCCCCTGATTCTCCTCATAATGGTATATGATTAATTAGTTTTTAATTATAATACCTGGTAATTAATCAAGTAGTTAGACATGAAATAGTCAACTAAGAGAATTATTTGTTATGGATTATTATAAATCTAAATATCTAATGATGATGGGAATATTTTCATATGCTAAATTGCTAATTAATTTGTGAGTGGATTAATTGTGGAGTTAATGGTGTTTTCTTAGGGAGAGTCAACTTATTAATGTGTAATGCTAGGGGCTCTTCTAGAGCTTAGCGCAAATTCCTAAGTCACAATTTTCAGTCTGTCTTTCTTTGTGAAGCTCAAGGAGATTTCCTTCTCTTACAATAAAAAATAACCAAGCAAATACTTGCTACTTGTAAACATGTTTTGAATTAAATAATACAACAAACCTTTTGCATTAGACTCTATTGGCTTAATAATAGTGGGGGAAAAAGGTCCTATATAAGGAAATTCCACCCCAATGTCCTCCATAGTAATTATCGTCATGCTGACATGAACCACAATCTCAAGATGATCTTGACATTGATGCCCAAGTGAATTGGGATCTTGCCAAGGATTGAGATCAATCATTGAGGTATCATTTTATCCTAAAATTTTAATTGTTGGGAGAGAGGGGACCTCATAAATGTCATATTATCTTGTAAAAATTAGATATGCAATTAGTAATTCATTTCATTGGAATTCATAATAGATTTTAGATACTATTCTTTTGGCTCATGTTTGGTTTCAGTTTAATCTTTATCTTCTTTTGAGGCTGAGTACTAGTGCCACAACCCTCGCTCTCTCTGTCATACGGGAATTCCAAGGAATATTTGATTATACACTTCAATCACTAAGACCCTCCCCTCCCAAGTTGATAATCTTACTCCTTTCTTTATTACTTTATTGAGGATAAGTATATTTATCTTAACAAGATTAATAAAAACTTACTAGCTTTGTTCTAAAACTTTCTTCAGTATGTTTATACCCCAAGTTTTTCCTCAATTAGAGTATCCTAGGTCATTAATTCTGAATCATTCAATTCAACGATCAGGGTTATTGATGTCCTTCAAAGTTAATGTTACTTTTTCTCCACTACCCTAGCTACTAATCATCATCTCCAAACATTAATGGCTCATGTAGATTGTTCTAAGTTAGAGACCTTGGGAGTTATTAAAAACTTTCAATCCTTATGCAATCCTGGCGAACCATATAATTACTTTTCCAGCCCTTGTTAGAAGATATGAGTTTTGTCTTGTTGATATAGGAGGTAAGTTGAGCCATGGTGTAACAAATGCTTTCAAGGCATCTCACTCCAAGGAAATAATTAAATCTCTTCATCGACCAAGTACTACAAAGAGCCAAATCATCCCTCGGATGATTAAGTTTTCATTCTGCAAGAGTTGGGTAGGGACAATGTTAAAACATCTGAGAAGAAAGAGAATCGCATAGTCGAATCTTCATACACATCTAAAAGTATTTGAAGAAGAGGCAAGCCTTCTTTGGATTATATACATAGCTTGGGCATTCATACTTTGTCAAAGACAAATTCATATCCAGTAGGGGTGTCAAAAATTGACACGACCCGAAAACCCGCTCAAACCAGAGCCGAATTTTTTGGGTTAGGGTCAACCTGTTTTAAGAACAAGTCAGATTTGGTTCCTGATTTTCAAACCGTTTCGAATTCCGGGTCAGGTTTGGGTCAACCCGAAACTCAGTTTTAACCCAGTTTTTCCTGTAGACTCACCAGACCGCCTCTGACATGGCTTTACCCACAGACCCGATTTTACCTGTTGACCCGGCTTTGCGTGCCTCCGGAAATCCAGTTTTTCTCGCAGACCCGGTTTTGCCCGCAGATCCAGTTTTGCCCGCAGAAGCTCTCCACATTGGTAGTGTCGAGCTATCCGCTGGCAGCGATGTCGGTGGCCATCCATCCCTCGAGGAGGACGGGCTTGAGCTCAGTATGAGGGCATAAATGGCCGTGCTGTGGGCGGCTGGGCCACTTCCGATGATGCAGATGCAGGTGTGGAAGGTCTTGCTAGTGTCACCCATGGCATATGATGAGGAGCTTGATGGCGGAGGGGCGACATATGCAAGAGGAAATGGATGCTGCAGCCGCGGTAGTTGCAACATAAAATGAACGGGATTTCTTCAAGATAAATACAAGCCTGGCGTAGAAGCTCATGGGATTTTGAGAAGAATAAAAAGATATGGGTCAACATATGCTAATTCAAATGAGAAATTTGATTTGACATACCTCCAGTAATTGCAACACCTTTTCCATCCTCGTCGACGCATGTTGCTCCATTGGCAAGCTCCTCGAGGCAAAAGGTTTTCTCGAGGAAATGGCCTGTTGTAGATTTGACTTATGTATTGATTTGGTTTCATGTCGAATCGGGTCAACCTGAAAAATCGACGGGTCGAGTCCGGGTTGAAATTATGACCCGTCTGTGAAAACGGGTCGGGTTCGGGTTTTGTCAAACAGTAGCAGGTTAGTGTCAGGTTCAACTCAAACCCGACTCGTAACCTGATTTTGATACTCCTAATATTCAGATGTCCTTCTTTAGCCTCTCTGGTAAGTTATTGTCACTTTTTGTGAGGAAAATTCAATATGTAGAAGAATTGAACATTGTTCTCGTTGGCAACTTCAATGGTCGGTCAAGGAACTTAAAATTAACTTAGAGAAAACAAGAAGTTCGAATAATAATGGGTTTTTTTATTAATAGTGTCAAATGATTCCAAGAAATATGCAAGATTATTTAAAATTTGAAGTGATGTTTTGAATTTGACAACGTAATTTAATTTAATTGTTCACCTTTGTTTGATTAAAGCAAGATAACTATTTCGATCAATATCATTATTTCATTTTATTTATTTAATAAGTTTTAATGTTTATCTATTATTTAATATTTACAATGTTAAATCATCTTGGATCCTGATTTCTTTCTCATTTCATACTTAGGGAACCTCTTGATTTAGTACTTGAAAATTTCTTTTATATATGATATTAATATTAGTTTCTATGAGATTATGTGGCATCTCCATCTCATTTATATACTAATAATAGTTTATAAAAATTCATAGCAATATAATAAAATAACATCATCATCAAATATTTATCCCACTACGTGGGGTTGACCACATGAATATTTTTTGCTCCATTATATCTCGTTAAGAGTCAAATTTTCATTTAATTCTAATAAAAAAAGTCTTTTCTAATACTTTCTAACCAAGTCTTTTAAGTCTACCTCTACCTTTTTTAACATAAGCTAAATCTAATAAATATACTCCTAACCGGGTCATCAGAAGGCCGACATTTTATGTGATCAAATCATCTAAGGCAACTATCTCTAATAGTATCTACCACTGGAGCTACTCTAACCTTTTCACTTATATACTTGTTTTGGATTCTGTCTCTAAGAGTGAGGCCACTCATCCACCCAAGCATCCTCATTTTTTGTAGCATTTAACTTAATTTTATGCTTCTCTTTTAATGACCAATATTTTGCGCTATAAAATATTGTATGTCTCATCACCATCTTATATAATTTTTTCTTTAAGTTTGAGGGATACTTTTCTTTCACACGACATGTTTGATGCTTTATGTTAGACCGGTCCATTGGATCAGTCCAGCCAGTCCACATGGGACCGGCCCAGGCGAATAGAGGCGGAAGTTCGCCTCTACCGCGGAGGCCAAGCAGACCGCAAAGCTCCACAGAACCTTTTAGGAAGGATTTTTGAGAAAGTTTATGAGGGAAATTGAATGTAGGGACTGTTTAGAGATTTCCTTTTGAATTGTATGCATTAAATAGTTTGTTTTCCTAGAGGGCATCTTAAATTTGGCTGAAATTTGAGATCTTTTAGATTTAGGTTTTCTTTTGGGCTCTAGCGACGTCTAGATACTTGGGAGAGATCGATCCTCCTCTTGAATAGAGGATCAATTGTATCTTATTATTTTCCTTTTCCCTTTCTTCAAATAATACAAATTATCTACTATTTTTTTTGGTTTTGTGTGGATTCATGTGGAAGCTTTTTGCTGATTTTCTAAAGATTGATAGGAATCACTTGAGATCTTTAAGTGTTTCCTATCAAATTAGTATCAGAGAATGTCTTGGGACCGTTGGAGGGCTGATTTTAGCAAATTTCAGCGACTGATTTTTGGTTGGAGAAGGAGGAAGTTGCTATTTTTTTTAGATCCAAATCCAAATTTTTGAACCTACAAAAATTCGGCGAGAGAGATGGCGGCCAATAAAGTAGATGCGCTAGAAGAAAGACTTGAAGGGGAGATGAACCAAATCAAGACAACGATGGAGGAAAGGATTTCCTCCATGGAAGGACAAGTAGCCAATCTTTGGGACCTGATGAAGAAAAATTTAGAAAT